TACGATTGTTCACTATTCCGCCGTGGCTCTCCAATAAATCCTTTAAGGTAGATTATTTCAGCCGTTCTTACCATCCCACCGCTGCCATCAGATGTTGCAGCCACCCCGTTAGGAAGAGGGGTTTCACCACCAGAGATGCTCTTTTCCACCTAGTGTGAGTGATGCTGTAATAATTTCACAATAAGTGTAATCCCCTCCCTTCAGCAGCTTACCTTAATCCAGTGCCGGGCTCCCTCGGCGCTGGTGACCTCTCCTCCCCCGCCGATGTCAGCTCCCCCGTCCGACGTCAGCGGAGCAAGGGCCACGCGCGCATTCAAAGTGTCCATAGGAAAGCATTTCTCCATGCTTTCCTAAGGATGCTCTGCGCGATCGCAGATGCGCCTTTAGTGGCTGTCCAGAAGACAGCCACTAGAGGCTGGATGAACCCCAAATGTTAACATAACAATTTCTCTGAAGGGTTAAAACCTGAGGGACCTGGCACCCAGACCACTTCATTGAACTGAAGTGGTCTGGGTGATTATAATGTCCCTTTAAGGAGAGCAAAAAAATAAGTCGCAAGAGAGTGATGAGAAGTTCAATTAGCCTGCCCTTCGGTGGGTCCCCGGTTAGCTCTCAAGCTGGTTTTAGCTTATCTTGTGCCATTACAGAGAGAACCAGGCCATTTGCATCTCAGACTGATTCCAACCAAATGGGCAGAACAGAGCCGAGATACAGCAACCCCAGGCAATAGTTTCAACTTTGTTAGGCATCATCAGTGAGGTATAGCATATATATCTCTCTCTAGGTACCATGAGCAAGGAATTCACATCTGGATTACCCTTTAAACTTAAGGAGCGCAAAAAAAACAAGTCACAAGAGAGTGCTGAGAGCGGACAACAGCTCAACTAGCTCTCAAGCTAATTAGTTCAAAAGCTGGTTTTAGCTCATCTTGTGCCATTACAGAGAGAACCAGGCCATTTGCATCTCAGACTGATTCCACCCAAAATGGCAGAATAGATCTTGCTACTTGTTTTTCTCTCCTTGAGTTTAAAGGGCAATTCAGACGTGGACCCCTTGCTCACAGTGCCTAGAGGAATATTGGCTATACCTCACTGATGATACCTTACAAGGTTGAAACAATTGTTTGGTTTGCTGTGTCTCTTGTGCAGAGGGAACTTGCTGGCATTTTGCACCTGGACTGCCCGTATGGGTGGGACCTGTCTGATATGATTCAGATATGTTCTCTCTGTAATGGCACAAGTTGAGCTAAAACCAGCTTGAGATCTGAGCGGGGACCCACCGAAGAGAGAGCAGGCTAATTGAGCTGTTGTCCATTCTCACCTCTCTTGCTACTTATTTTTCTCTTCTTAAGTTTAAAGGGCAATCCAGACGTGGACCCCTTGCTCATGGTGCCTAGAGGGATATTGGCTATACCAAGCACTGGACTTAGAGGTTTACATACACAATAAACGTGGAGACCGCACTCACATACACGCTCACCTCAAAAAACAACGACGCACAGATAAATCACCCCAAAACAGAGACTGAAGTAAATGACACCCTATAGGTTGAGGACATGATCACCGCATACCACACAGTAAGAGTAACAAACCCGCACATCCACAACGAACAGCGGGACCCAACACCCGAAGGCATACTGACCCCAAGTTCATACATAATTGAAACTCGTAAAAACAACAGAATGAAACCCACACCTAACACATAATACAAACCCCATAATAACAGAATGGAGGTTCACAGACAAAAACCAATAACACACACAGGCACTACCTGGGACACTACACCGCCTACCTAAACCGCCACACACACTCAGAAGCCAAACTCGCACCACCGAAGGAGATCGATGAAACAATTCTCAAGACGGTCATGGATAACTCCAATGGGCCTGCAAGTCCATCACCATCACTAGGCAAGTGCTCAATATGCTTACTGCTCTCACTACTCTCACCGTCCCCGCAGGTCTACGAGCCTCGCTAGACCTAAGGTTCTACTGCCACGCACCTACACTGCAATAAACACAACCACCAAAAAACACATTCAACACCCACATACCACATAACACACCCCGCATTAACAGAATGGATGTCAAACAGAAGAAGACTGACCACACACACACAGACAATATTAAGGACACTACACCACCTACCTAGACCAATACACACATCCAGAAGCTCAACACACAACACCAACAGGGATTGACGACACGACGCTCAGAAAGGTCATGGTACATTCCAGCAGACCAACGAGTCCATCGCAACTGAAAGAACAGTACTAACTGTGCTCTATGTTATCACTATTTTCAACATTTATGGAGGCCTGCGAGCCTCGCTGTTTCAAAGGTTCCACTGTTACCTGTTTATACTGTAAGGAAAATTACAACCAAAAAGTAATAATATGTACTTTTTAACAATATACACAACTTCTCCCACAAATACCTCCAAGCGAAAGCTATGATAATAGTGTAAAGTCAATTTAATTCTTTAAAAATGTTAATGCATTTATATTAAACAGCTACACAGTGCCACAATTGCAACACTGCAACTACTAGCAGGCCACCCTTTATACCTTTTTTTTTTTTATATCTCTTTACCCGACCCACTTGAAGGGGGGAGAGGGTAAAAAGGAAGGAAGAGGAAAACCTTAAAGTCAATGGGAAAGCAAGGCCGAAATGACTGCATTCTAAACCAACGGATCAAACAACATAATTTGAGGCTATACGTTACACTTATCCATTGTTGGATAGGAAATATATGCCTGTGCAAGTAATCTCTGTCTTCCAGGCACCATTTAAACTAGCAATAACATATCTTAACATACCAAGTGCTAGTTGCTTGAATTCTCCACAGCTTGTTTGCTTTATTAGAACATTTATAGTATGCATCATTTATATGTGCTAAGGCAGAAGACAAACGCCTGTGATTGAGAATGTAGACAGGCCAGCTGAAGTTCTGCAATGTACTTGTTTTGTTATATTGGGGGCCCGTGAACTCATTCGATCGACTCCCCATTCGGAACGCAGACTACTGAACGAAAACACTGTTTCCATTCATACAAACACAAATGCCTACGTACAGTAACAAACAATAGTATCAGTAAATCTGCATCCCAGGTATATAACACTTTGTTCTATTTACAATTGGAATGGCACTATGCCTACAATTTGGCACGCACTGAGTAAAACCAGAATTAATACGTTGAATCTTCGATTCATTTACTTTCTATTCTCGATTATGATGAGGATGCACATATCCCGAGTTATACTCCTGTTCAGAGCCATACGGCTTGTTCCTACTGTTTATCGGCTTATGTATAAATCAATAGTTGGATCTGCGCATCCATACACTATCAAGAGACTTGAAAGACCTGCGAGTCTCACACTGCTTACTGTGAAAACACCTAAAATGATGATAAACCTTCAATAAAAATATATTTACAAAAATATTACGTAATACTGTAGTCTGATGGGTGCTTTCTAATTACAAAAATCACTTTATTAATAGATTCACTAAAAAGTTTTTTTTTTTTAAAGAAACTGGACTTGTACAAAACTACATGCTTGGCTATTACGCGTTTGGTTGGTGATTTTTCTACATTTCAGCTCCAAGTTTGGGAATATTAACCACGACCCAACTAGCCCAAATGCGGAAGAATTGGTGTTTGGAGTAATACAAATTTCCAAATCTATTTGAACTTTACTCTTTATAATGTAAAAAAGTGGTTGTTTCTTAGTTTATAATTTTTTTTGTGTTCTTTTCATTTCTAGATACATCCTTTGAAGATTCTGACCAGACTTCTTTTATCTTTATAGTAATGTAAGTGGGCACTCAATTTATTACTCATTTTGTCTAGCTTATATATATACATACTTTCCCATTCTGTCTTAGTTTCTTAGAAGTTTATAATCATTTCAATGCGTGTATGTAACGAGTTAACACATTGAAAAATAAATCATCCAAAATTAATGTTTTAGTAGGTACAGTATGGTTTTCCCAACTCACGCTAAATACTACTTACCCATACAAATGGGGTACCATGTTTGTAAAAATAACACTGAATGTCTGTATTGGCATCATATTGGAGGGTATCAGAAGATTATATCATATAGCACTTGATAAATGTAATTTTACACAAGCAATATTAATTATTTCATAGAAATTTCAAATATTTCCATATTACGGTTTGACGAATACTCAAAATCTGTTTTTATTATTATACGTTTCTAATCTGAAAATATTATATATTTTAAATAGGCATATTTTATGCAGGTTATATAATTGTGTTTAAGGTTTTTGTTTCACCAGATGAGAGTGCACAACTATACACAACAAGGGTGTTTTAGTTAACAGAACCAATACAATGCTTGGCAGTGAAGGAGTTAACCCCTTTCCTTTTGGAGGAAGTTGGAGATGCTTGGTAAATTAAAGGGAATAGGTAATGTAATGTATTTTCTCTGAATTGGCCTTAGAATACTTTCTTATCGGTTGTAATAGACAAACACATATTTTTGCAAGTGTTTAAATGTAAATGTTCATTGTGACTCTAACAACAAGCAGCTCCCATTCATTCTATTTGCATTGTTTTTCCTATGGATCTGATTGGCTGTGATTTTCCAGCAAATTCTAAGCTGATCTAGAACAAAACTGGAGCCAACTCACTGCCCATTTGTATATATTATCTGAATATTATATATTATCCGGGTAATCTGTTTAAACCAAGGGCTTATTTCAAAAAGTCAATTTAGAGCTGTGCACTGTGTTAGGGAAATAATTATTAAACACATTTCAAAATCTCCCAAATAAATTATTCAATTTATTATTTATCAGACCACTTTAAAAAAAGAAACATTTAGTTTAATGAGGTATATTTTTAATGATAAGGATCGCACCATTTTGTCATGTATTAAATATTTCAGAAATCAAAACACAGAGGTATAAGAGAATGTCAGAATTTACACTTTCATGATGCATATATATATATATATACGGAGTGTGACAGCATTAGTACTCTGTACATATATCCGTTATCAGGTCTCTTTGTGATGGAGTACCCTGACATTTTGCTCTGTATGCCTGCTTAGAAGAAACTCATTTTTTCGCAGGAGGAGCAGGCAGGATGTGGGAATCTTGGTTTTGCCTAACAAAAGCTAAATGTTCTAAATCAGCCGAAGGATCCTTTTTGTTCTATTATAAACCAGTAACACCTATCCCTGTTTTGTCCCTATGATATCCATTGTATTTGTCTAACGTCACAGTGTAGATCTCAGTGTAGATTACATTATCTGCATGATGAGGTCACTTTTATTGTTTCTTTTTCCCCCCTATTTGAATTCTACCAATTTGCTTTAATTCATCAAATGCTAGGAGTGATGGAGATGGTACCTAGCAATCTGACATATCATGTCCCATCTATTAGGTAGTGTTTATTTTCAGGAAGCTGCTGTTTTTATTTTGTCTATATATATATATTTTTTTTTTCAATTTGACAATTTTTATTTTGTCATAAGTCAAACAGTGGGGTACAGAAAGGAAAGGGGTAAGGGGGTGCAAGTGACATAATATATTTAGTAGTAGTAATAGTAAGACACTTGATATTTTGTTTATATTTTTATTATAATGAGGGATAGAGGGATGGATTTAGAAGATACAGGGCTGGGGGTACGGAGAGACACATGGGGGATATAAGGTTTACTGGGGAGCTGTTAATGCAAAAAAGGACAAAAGCGTGTTGTGCTGAAAGGCACGAGTGGTGGTAGATTGGGTGTACAGACACAGCTGGGAGGGAGTCACAAATGTACAGTAGGAATAAACAAAACTGGAGGTAGATGAGGGAGGGCAACACAAGTGTGAAAGAGATCAGAAAGCTAGACACAAGTAGGGGAGAGGAGGGGGATGGGGGGGCTGATACAGGACTGGGGAGTACATGTGTGGAGAGCGTGTGATTACACAGGGCTGCAGAAAATGGTTAAAGGAACATTACCTTGTTATGGGGGCAAGAGTGTCTGGAGGCTATCTTACCTCCAGGGGTTAAAATATTTTCCAATTGTTTCATTCTTCTGTTCACCCCGCAGCACACAACACAGCTGCCCCCCCATTTCCTGCCTCATCTTGTAGTTGACACTCTCAACCTATCACTGGCCTCCATTTTACCATAGCGTTCATCTCCTCTCTCACTAATTACACATTACGAATCCTCTCTTCTGAACACTCACTTGTCCGCATGTCTACTTCCCTTCTTACTAGCAGGCAGAAGCTCCTAGTATGCAGTCTGGTACAGAGAAAGGGTATGTAGTGAGGGGGTGAGGGAGCAGTAAATTTGGAATCTAGCAAAACCTAGCAAATGTATTACCCAAACTTTTCAACATTTCAGATGGACAAAGAGGGACATTTTAATTTTACGTTTGTGAGTGGGGGGTTGTAGTTATGGGTGGGGCTGTTCTGAGAAATTTTAGTTGACTTACTGATTAAACAATTAAAGCAAATAAAATGTAATTTAGACCAGGAACCATGTATCTTAATTACACAGACTGATTTCTAAACACATTTATTACAGTTTAAAGACTCACTACTGTGAGTACTATTGATGTGGAGCTCTGTTATACATTCAGACAAACCAACAGAAACAAACACAGAGGGACAGTGGGATTTGGGTCCAAAATGGGGACACTTGGGAGTTATGATTACCCCTACACTGTGAATTGGGTGGTTATGGCTGGCAGGATGAATTGACAAACAGGGTATTGGGAAACCTGCATTAGGTGATGTATTGAGGGATTAATGCAATGGAGCTGAATTTGGAGGGTAGTACTGGGAATGCAATGAGGTATTATATTAGGTGTGTGAGGGACAATGTTCTGTAAATGAAGATCAATGAAAATTGTGAATAATCAGGTCTAAAATTCAAATGGAGCGGTTTTATTTTAATATTTCCTGTTATGTTGCAATAATAGGTTTACAAAGTCTTTGTGTGGTCTTGAATTCAGGTAGAGCTTGGGTGGGCACGGCACCATTTTGTTCTTGGTTTCACGCAGTACAATGTCTTAGACCAGCACTAATGCCACATATTGCAAGACATCACTTTTCATATAATGCTCATCAGAATACAAATGTGATATGTATCCAGGAAAACGTGTTTTAATGTTTTGAAAACGAATTACTCAGACAAGACACACCTGAGAGTTCTGATATACTGACTTTACCTGCTGATCCTTACCTGTTGGGGCAGGAATACAGTATGAAGAGATTCCCCAGATAATTGTGTGGGTTTGCAGAGAGTTTCTGTTTTGTCTATATTATTCATTTAGTTCTGTACTTTCAAACTACATAGATTTGTTTTCTTGTCTTCGGTATTCATTTCTATCCACTAGATGTCACCCCATGCCCAGTGAATTACAACTTCTTGTCACATTCCTTGTCCTGGGTTTCCTGAAACCACCCCAGCCCCCAACAATTTTACTTTAAATAAAAGAGAAAATCTGTTTAGTGATACTCCACCTATTAAAGGAAAGGATTACTTTTCCCTTAAGTTTGTTCTAGAGGACCTCTACACAGTCCTCAAAAGTTGTTTGATAAATATAGAAACATAGGAACATAAACTATATTGTTGTATATTTGTTTTGTATTTTCTTTTATGGCTTGTGTTGCTACGTTGGTCAAGCAATCTACATTACGTTGTTTAGTGTAGCAGTCATGGGCATTGCTACATAACCACTAGTGGTGGTGGTGGGTGGGGAGCATGGGCGTCCGCAGGGGGGGGGGCAAGGGGGGGCACTTGCCCCCCCCCTGGATTTTTCAGCTTGTTCTGCTATTTTTCGTATGAGATTTAAAATGAACTGCAATACCGGCGCCGGTCAGTAGGTGTATGGAGAGAGACAGGGATAGGAAGCTGCATCTTATCCCTGCTTCTCTCTGCTGATTGAAACCGCAGGGGAACAACACATGCAGCCAGAGACAGCCTACAGATCAGATAAGTGGGGGGAGGGTTTGAGAGGGGGGCAGCAGCCTATAGATTTGGGGGGCAGCAGATAGATTTGGGGCAGCAGCCCAGATTTAGGGGCAGCAGCCCATAGATTGGGGGTGGGGGGGGCAGCAGCCCATAGATTGGGGGGGCAGCAGCCCATAGATTTGGGGAGGAGGGGCAGCAGCCTATAGATTTGAGGGGCAGCAGCAGCAGCCTTTAGATTTGGGGGCAGCAGCCCATAGATTTTGGGGCAGCAGCCCATACATTTAAGAGGGGCAGCAGCCTATAGATTTGGGGCAGCAGCCCATAGATTTGGGGGGGCAGCAGCCCATAGATTTGGGGGTGAAGCAGCCCATAGATTTGGGGTGCAGCAGCTTCAGTGATTTGGGGCAGCAACCCATAGATTTGGGCAGCCTTAGATTTCTGGGGCAGCAGCCTTTAGATTTGGGGGCAGCAGCCCATAGATTTGGGGAGGGGGGCAGCAGCCCATAGATTTGGGAGGGCAGCAGCCTTTAGATTTGGGGGCAGCAGCCCATAGATTTGGGGAGGGGGGCAGCAGCCCATAGATTTGGGGGGGCAGCAGCCTATAGATATATAGAAATGAACAGGAAGGGTCAGCAAGGAGCTGGAAGGTAAAGCAGCACAAAGGTAGAGTAGAAGGAGCAGAAAGGGTCAGAAATGAGCTGGAAGGGGCAGAAGGAGCACAAACATAAAGTAGGAGAATGAGCAGGAAGGGCCTGCAAGGAGCAGGAAGGAGCACAAAGGGACAGCAAGGAGGACAAAGGTAAAGGAGCAGAAAGAATCAGAAGGAGCACAAAGGTAAAGTAGGGAGAAAGAGCAGAAAGGGACAGCAAGGAGCACAAAGGTAAAGTAGAAAAGGGAGCAGAAAGGGTCTGCAAGGAGCAGAAAGGGATCAGAATGAGAAAGGAGCAGAAGGGTGCAAAATAGGCAGAAAGTAGCAGAAAGGTAAAAGAGCAGAAGGGGCCAAGGATATAAAACAGTGTCAGAATAAAAAAAAGACTGTCAAATGAAGGAGAGGAAAAGGAGATTGGAGCAGGAAGGACAAATGAAGTGAACCCTCCACTTTATTCTGGACACCACATCATAAGGCTTTGGTACCTGGGCCTGGCAGGGAAACGCTGGACCTTCTCATCTCCAAAGGTAAAAAAATATCGGTGTTAATGTGTTCACTTTTATTTACTGAGTGTCAGGAAGCACAGAGTGCCGTTGGGTAGGGGTGTTGCTGATTGGCTAGAGCGGTCAGCTGGCACTCTAAGCCAATCAGTAGCTCCCCATTCATAAAAAAGTAAAAATATTTTAGGAACCGGGAACTAACAATTGGCTTAGAGCGTCAACTGTCCACTCTAGCCAATCAGCGGCACCCATGCCTGACATCAATCTGCACTTCCTGACACTCTGTTTCAGAAGCCAAATACCACTGAGCGACCTGGAGCTGGAGGAAGCCTTTGGGGTTAAACCATTTGAGAGCGATTTAACCCCTTAAAGGAAAGCGAGCACCCAGGGGCTTCCTGGCATCATAGCATTTTCATTTAGGTGAAGTTGTTATGGTGACCAGAAATGTCCTTTAATTTGCTTAAGGGAACACTATAGTGTCAGGAATACAAACATATATTCCTGACATCATAGTTGTGAAAACGCTATTCACCCTGGCTTTATGTGATAATGGCTATGCCCCTTCCCTTTCATGACACTGTCAAAAAGGTACCAAGCATGGATGTCATTACAATTATGCCCCCCCCTGGAAAAATTCCTGCGGACGCCCATGGTGGGGAGCTGCTAATCAGTTCAGTCGGCTGATATAATAAGAAATATTACTAGTACAGTGCACCACGGGCTACTAAGAGAGAAGTAACCCAGCTGACTGTTGAGAGGGTGTGCTGGGTAGCTGAACATTGCTGCACACCATTCTACCAGCTTGGTAGTGTGACAGAATTGCGCTAAATACCATATTGTGCATTGATATCCTGGAGAGCACATAGGCTCATGGTAGTTTAGGGGGTCATCATGTTTTCTTCAACTCTGGTATTCCTAGAACCTAGCAAAGCCCCCGTATAGTCGGTCCTTTCTCCAGTCTGGGCAAACCCATTTGACACAGAGAAGAGTCTGATTAAACTATACGGCCAAATGTATCCTCATGTACTTAAGGAATGGGTCACAGGACTTATTTTGTAATTGAACAAGGGGTCACCACACTGATAACATGTATGTAATTGCTGATAAAATGGTTAATAACTACTAGTTAAAATACTGTACATATAGCTCACACTAATCTCATCCATGGTATCAACGGTTGCAGGCATCCACCAACTCTCAATGGGTTTTGTCCTTGCACGCCATACAAAAAAACTCAAATATTGGAACTGGCAGGACCTGCTACACTGCATTTTAACACGAAGCCATTTGTCTTTTTAATAAAGTATATAGTTAATATAATCATAATATGTCTCACCTGCCTCTACATATGTTTGCTATCGGAAACTTAGGCGTCTGCTTAAGAAGGCCTCAAATGCTGACAATCTTAGAATCAGTATACGTTCACTGCCTGGTAGGAATTTTATAAGTTCAGATTCCTTCCTCTGTGGCCACAACAGAAGTATTCCTGGACATTGGAGTAGCCCTTTAAGCAGAACACACTCTGCGATGATGCACATTACTTACGGTGATCTTTTAAGTCTTTGTCTCTCTCTAAACATGCTGATATAAAGATTGAACAAATCAACGTTGCAAGCAATCAAACACAGACCCCAAGCATGAAAGCTAGGATACCTGAGTATGCAGGAATTCATAGCAGGAAATTAGATCTATTGAATGTATAAAAATATATTGGCAAACCTTAAGAAGACAGGTCGTTTAATAAAAATAATTGTGACTAAAGGAAGTAACTTGCATTTAGAACACAAATTGTTGCAAATTTATCACAGAGAGCATCCTACTGTAATTATTTTACACTGGGAGTCCATAATACTAAAGGAAGGGTACAAAATGTTTGTAATATGCAAATTACTCAGGGATACACTAGGGCACCTTATGCAACACTGCCAATGCCAAGGATTTAACTAACATCCTATAGGCAGTGCACTGGCCAGATATGTGTTATCTAGCGATTACCAGAGGATATAGGATCCTGATAAGATTATATTGGCCTCCTCCTCCTTTAGACACACCACACTATTGTAGGATTCTCCTTCCTTTGGGAACTGCTCATGCCATAGAGAAAAAATGAGGCTTAGGAAAACTTAGAATATTTAACATGTCAATGAAGAGTCATTAGATTGACCAACATTTCTGATTTTAAAATGTATTTATTAGTAAAAAGTAATGTGGTGTGGTTATGATGAGGAATGGAACGAGCATGTCAGATAGCATACGTGCTGATAGGGGTGATCAAGGGGCTAAAGCCCCAAATGTGAGTTTTGTTGGCCCTGCACCTGTTCAGTGCTTTTATCATTTTATAATATACTCAATTTTAAATCAATTTTAAATCAAAACACAGACACACAGATAGATACACATACAGATACACAGACAGACAGACAGATACACAGACACACATACAGACACACCCGCACACACATATACATAGATACACAGACACAGACACACATACAGACACACTGATGGAGACACACATGCAGATCCACAACACACAGATACCCATGCAAAATATACATTTCTTAGCAACCCTCCTGTTTCCTACCTTTTGGGTGCAGGAGAATTGATTCCCTGGGGTCCACTCGGGTGGCTGAAGCTGTTGAGAGTCAGATGATCTCCCAGTCTGCACCCCCTCCTCTATGCCTTTCCCATGCTGCACTCTGTGACCGTCTGTCACTTCCTCCCAGCGTTGACATCATGAAAGGAGCCCAGTTGCACTATTAAAGAGCCATTGTGCTGCCCAGTATCCCTGAAGAAACATTGTCATCGGTGGCCCTAAGTGCATAAACCACCCAATGGGCCCCCTCAGAGTGCGGACCCTGGTGCAGCGCACTGGCTGCACAGGCGGTAATTCAGAGCTGAAGCGATCCTAAATGAAATTGTTGCGGGCAGTAGGTCCATGGGTCAGCTGCTTTGGGAGTAACTGGGCCTGGAACAGCTGCCCTGTTTGCCCCGCGTTAAAGACAGTCCTGCAGGAAGCCAATGTAAAGATTAGCACAGGGGTGAAATGTGGGAGTAGCGATTAGTCAGGAAACTGGGCCTCGCTGCAGCATTCATTACAGACTGAAGAGGGGCAAGGCACGTAATTGGAAGGCCGATGAGTAGTGAGTTGCCATTGTCAAGTCAAGCTGTATCTCGAGTTAGAAAAGGGTGAATGTGGCAATATTTTTAAGGTTTTAAGTTACAGGATTTGGAGACAGACTGAATGTGAGGAGAAAAAGTAGACCCAAGTCAAAAGAAACACCAAGACAGCAAGCTTAAGGAGTTGGGGTAATTGGTGTCCCATTGACTTGCAGGGAAATTAATGGATGAGGACTATTAGGGGGCGGGGGCGATGATGAGGAGTTCAGAAGACATCTACTTAGAGATGGAAAAGAGGGAGTTGGTGACACCTTCCAGGAGAGCAGGAGAGAGGTTGGGGGAGGAGAGGTAAATATATTTATTGTCAGCATATAGATGGTACTGAAATCCCAAACTGTACCAAAAGAGGCAGTTAAGATGGAGAAAAAAAGAGGACCAAGGACAGAGCCCTGGAGAACACCAACTGAGACAGTCAGCCGGAGGAGGTGGCACCAGAGAAAGAGACACTAAATGAGCATTCAGAAAGATAGGATGAAGAAGAGAGAGGCTGGCAGTATCAAAGGCAGCAGAAAGATCAAGGAGAATTAAGAGAGAGAGTAATAATCTTCATATTTAGCAGTGATTAAATGTTAGTCACTTTGGCTAACTCCAAAGGCAGTTTCAGTAGAATGCGGAGCGGAAGCCAGATTGAAGAGGGTCATGGAGAGAGTTAGTATTGAGAAAGTGAATTAGATGAGTAAATGCAACCCGCTCAAGAAGCTTAGAAGTGAAAGGGAGTATTGATATGGGATGGTAGTA